GCAAAATGCCGTTTTGAAATTAATAGTCCTTCTGGCCTAACGTTCTTTGGGCTAAAAAAGGCCTATGCTGTGAAAACTGACTCGTTTCCGGCCTCAGATTGGCGGCACGATGTCCGTTCTCTATGTCTTAACTTGATTCTTAAATCCTAAAGCAAGCCTCTGTTCTTCAGGAGGGGAAAAATTAATTGATTTATCCGACTAATTTTTAATTTTGTATATTATATCTGTTTCGCTTTCATTTGAGACTGTGTTCCGAAGATAGTCTTTTACCTCGGAATTCTAGAATATTGAATCTAATACATCATCAGAGTACTTTGTCATCTGAGAGGGAACACGAGTTAGATTAAATGAAATTTCAGCTATTCTCGCAAAATAAATAAAAAATAAATGAAGATAAGAAAGAGGTCTCTGTCTCTAGTTGTTTATGTTATTGATGAGGCCAAAAGTGAACTGACGAAAATGAGAAAACTCCTAAAAGATACCGCAAAAGAAGAAGATGACGATTTTTTGTTGAACTGTAGGATTGAACATTATAAAGGATTTTTTCTTCGTGTTCAGATCATTATGGATATAGTTCATTGTGCAAGCGATCTTCAAATATGCAATTTCGAATGAAGAAACAGGTTTTGAAATTTCCTTTAGAATCTTTATCTGGAATTTCTGTAACTTCCAGTTGGAAAAGAAAACCAATTTACACTGGAAAATTACTTCCAGAATTGGTTTATGTGCAATATTATTTTAATTAGTTCCAATCTTTTTATTAAAAATAGGAGTAATTATATTAATGGGAGATTAATTTAATGAAAGCTGATGCTGCGAACAATTAAAAAAAGTTTTTGAATGAAAATAAAACTGAAAGATTTAATAAATTGAATAAATAATGATCAAAAAACAAGTTATCTTCTTCCGAATTATCAACATTGCTCTTCCAGGTCGGAAAATCGTCTCTCCAGTTAGTTTGTCTGGCTTAAAGTATTTATTTAGTTTTTGAGTTTTTCTTTGTCTTTTTACTTAATGAAGTTACTAAAAAAGAAGTAGAACTATTTTATAAACATCAAGAATTTTTTTTTAATTGCAAGCGAAAGCGTCTTAACTTTTAGAATGAAGCTCTCTCAGTTTTATATTTGCTTCTTTTTAAAATTTTTGCTTTTGTGGCAACAATGGCTACAATATCAAAATTTGTTCTTTTATCTTTATAGACACTGAATACAGTCAGGGCTTCATTTCTAAGATTAGAAGTGCCGGAGCTCTATGGAAGACTGCCAGCAAAAAGGAACAAGAGTAAATAAATAAATAAAATGACTATTAAACACATTAATAATTTTAAAATTAAGTAGTTAATTATGATCAAATTAATTAATAGCTATTTAATTAATGTTTAAAAATGTTTTTGTCAATAATTATTGATATAATAAATTTATTATAATTTAATGGTTAATTATTTATTATTTATTGAAATAATTAAAAATTAATTAGTTCAATAAAAAAATAATAAAATATTATTATTAAATTAATTAAAATATTATTAAAATATTATTAATAATTAAAATATTATTAAATTATTAAATTAATAAAAATTAATTTGCATTTAAATTTAATAAGCGATTTTTAATATAATTCTGTTGTTAAAATAAAATTTTAGAGATAACATTTCTACTGAGATTGTTATTCAGTTACATAAAAGAAGTGCAGTAGTGTTCTTATTCAGAGCTCCTGTGCATTCCGGCTAGAATTCTGATTTATTACAAAAACTAAGAAGCACCGAGGCCGATATCCTACTATCAGAGCTCAATTTAAGCTCTGATCGTAGGGAAGGGGGGAGAAAGTTCTTTTCTCATCACAAAAATTAAGTATTCTTAAAGTATAGCTGATGAAAATTCCAGGGCGAAGCAGAATGAGGGTATGAGTGGGTGTAAACAAAAAATGAGGGGAATCTTGGTGAGAGAGAACGTTCTCTTTGACCGCGGCTCTCTGCTGATATAATTATATTCATCAAGTAGATGTATGTCAGGGAAAAATATGAGTCCTGAATCTGACTCCTAAGGATGAATGTAAAGTTGCTGGTTACGCTTTCCCCCCATTGGTGGATACTGTGGGAAGACGATGTATAGGACGTGCTTTGAGCAGTTTATCTCAGTATTTCACTCTTATTATACTCGCTGTCACTTAACTCCCATTTAAGAACACACATTTTCCTTCCTGCGAGGACAACAAAATATCGATAACAATACCCTAGACACGATGGCATGGCGAAAAATCTACGCGTTCCTAAACAAACTCTCCAAATTTATTGCCCTTCTTAAAGAGAGTGGTTTCCACATGTGAGTGAGGGGACTTTACTTGAACATCTCATGTTCTCATGAGTTCGTATTTCTAGGGAAATAGAGTATTGCAAAGTCTGCTTATTGTTAAACTAAAACGTTAGGAATTCTAATTTTTTTTCCCTTTAAATTGTGGTTGAGTTTTATAAAAAGAAGTACCGGAGCTCATCTTATTTAGGGCTCCGGTGCGCTCCGCCTAAAATCGTAATTTATCTTAAAAATTGAGAAATACCGGAGGTGGGCTCCGGGGCAATTTAAGCACTGAATACAGTCATACTTCGGTATACGTCCAACTTTGTGTATGCTCTGTTTAGACACTAAAGTTTTTGTTTGGCATATGATATTTCTTTGAAATATGGCTGTAATTTGATAAATCACGACTGAGTGCGTATCACTCGTTTACCTCTTTTGAGACAACATTACGACTACTCATGAGCGTCAGTACGTCTGTTGTTACTATTCAGTAAAAGAACGGGCTATAAATTTTCAAGTGATTTTGTGTTTGTGCTTTTTCTGATAAATATTCTCCAAATTCATCAACAATGAGTTTTAAAAAAGTTAGTAAGAAGAGTCAAGTAACGAAGAAAATTGTTAGGATCACCATGGAGGGAAAAAAAAGAGATTGTTGAAAAGTTTGAACAAGACATGCGTATGTGGGCTTTGACTATTGCATATTGTATGCGGAGTAAGACGGTATCTACAATTGGGAAAAACAGTGCTCTTAAAACGGCTAACATTGAGAAAGGAAGTGAAATCGATTAACAAAGATGAGAGATGTTAGACCATGCTTAGAAATTTCTTTTGATCTGGATAACAACAACAACAAAAATTACATATATTATCATGAACAACGCTTCATTTATGTACAGTAGTGGTCTCAAACAGTATGTGCAGTAGTGGTCTCAAAGTAGTAATTACAGTAGTAATGTACAGGTCTCAAAATAGTAATATACAGTAATGGTCTCAAAATAGTAACTATGTACAGTAGTGGCCTGTGGGCCGCATGCAGCTCTCGAAGCCATTTTACGCGGCTCGTGACTATATTTCCTTTAAATTTATTTGCATTATTATCGACATCGATTATTATGGAAAGAATTTGAAGAAATATTTCATATTTGAATGTTTTTGATTTCAGTTTTGCATTATTTTCATTACCATTAAAAACAAACGTAAGTAAGGCAGGAAAAATCTATAAATGGAGCTAATTAATTTATAATGTGATATAAATCTTCTTCAAAGATTTAAGGTACAGGTAAAGTTTAGATATCTTTGCAACCATAAACTGTAACTAAATTCAGACTGGCAGGTTCAGGTTGAAGTGCAGTGGATACCCATTGGTTAACTATTGGCAATCTGAGTATCTTCCAACTGCCACTATCTATCTTTATTTTGAATGTTTTTTTTTTTTTTTTTTTTTTTTGAAGAATTTTGACATATTTACAATTTTACATATATTTACAATATAACTGTGACAGATGGTGTCATTCGTACTTATGCTGTAATACACAATGGCAAATACATAACAATGCTTTTACATAGATATAAATAACATGGTTCTATACATGTATTCAGAGAGCAATTTGTACAGTTATATCCAAAGAGTACATATTGAGTACCTGCTGACAGCATTTTGTACATGAACATGCAAAGAGTACTTAACAAGAGAACATTTTGTATGTAAATTATTTAATTTTTTTTTTATTTTGGGGGGGAGGAGGAGGATGCAAATACTTGTTGTATGATCCTCTTGCCTTTTGCTAGCCCATACTTTCGTCGATTTTGTTCTTCAGACTTTTTGTCAAATAGGTCCTTTTATCAATTCTAATTTTAAGTGTTTGCAAATTCGAGTGTATTCATTATTTGCTTAGCTTCTGCTGCAGAGTTCTTCTCCTCTACATAGCAAGGAACAGATAGACTGGCAGTAAATTATCGCTAAGTCTAAAACAACTAGGACTTGAAAAGGGTGTAAAAGATCCTTTATTGTAAACTAAGAAGAATAAAAGGCACAAGAAGAAGAGAAGAAATAGAAATATAAGAAGAAATAGAAGACAACTTAAAGTACACTGCGGCGGGAAAAAAAGGGGAGACAGTTCTATATCTCCCGTTCTACTGGACCGATTGACGAAATTAAACTTGCGTCCATTTTACGACTCAAAATACGCCAAATTGCTAAGTTTTGTAAAAATCGCACGAGTAGTTTTTTTAAAAATTAGCTCTAAAAATTTTAGCTCCTCAATGTTAATTAAGTTTGGTATCTATTTATTAATATCTCTTTTCTTATTAAACTTGTTTGATTCTTGCTTTCACATTTAGGTCCATTTCAAATAAAATTCGTTCATTTTTTATGTTTTTTCTTTTTAATTTGCATTTTGAAATAATTTTTATATATTTTTCGAAAAAATTTTTGAATTATAATCTATACCGTCATCTTAAAGTAGATGTATTTCTAAGCATACCTGCAAAAAATTTAGAGTTTTTTTTATTCAAAATTTCTCAAGATATACGCAAATTTATATATTGACGCATTTTGAAATTTGGCATATTTGTTGAAAGCGATAACAAGATCAAATGTGGTTTAGGCACTTTGTTAAAATTGTTTGAAAGGAAGAACGATGTGACTTTTTTCCGCTCATACATAATGTAAAAAGGTAGAAACGAAGTGCCTTTTTTCCAGTACCTCCTATATACGAAGCCAAGCCTCTAGGGTTGCTTGAACGGTCTGACGTCATCTAAGTCGTCATTCCTACCATCTTCCTCGTGGCAAAGAATGAAAGAATATACTTCGGTGTCGTAGCGTAGTGAACTGACTGTTGTTTGAAAGTGTAGTGTGCTCTAATAGAACATTTTTCATTTAAATTACTTTATTTATTTTTTATTATGCCACATAAATGCTGTGTTGCAACATGCAAAGGAAATTATAAGAATGGCCCGAAGGTGGCTGTATTTAGTTTTCCTACGGAAGAACAACTGAGAAAACAATGGATTTGGAACTGCAAACGAAAAGATGGATTCAAGCCTACGAAACATTCAAAGGTAAGCATGCATTTCATTTTTAAATTAGAAAATTCCTGAAAGATTAATGTCATTGAAAGAAACATGACTTGAAAATGCGAAAACAAAAAATTCTCAATGCAAGGGAAATAATTTACTAAAGTTCCATTGCATTCAACCATAGAAAATAAAACGAAGTTTTAATTACTTTCTATACAAGCATAGTTATATATTTATTTACTAGGCAGAAATTTCTCTTATCCCATTATGAATGAGTATTATTAATGAATTCTTTCAGTAATTTATATTTTCGGCGTCGGCGTCGGATCTTTATAACACGCACATTGATTTGGGATTGATTAATCTTTCAGGAATTTATGTTATACAGAGCTTATACTGAATTTTAAAGTGATTATAAAATGGACCCTTTTCTCAATAACTAGTCAATAGAAAATCCACCAACCTTATAAAGTTCATATTATAACTTTAAGTAGATAAATATAAAATGCTTCAAGTCGTAATTTTAAAGCCGTTAATTTAAAGTTGTTTTAGATATAAGTATTTAACTGTTTGGGTATACTATTTCTTTTGATTTAGATAAGTCTCGTTCCACCTATTTTATTTTTATTTTTTTTTTTTTCTTTTTAAAACTGAATGTATGCAATGCCCCTTTATTATATGCTAGGAGCATTTGAGAATGCATTTTGCTCGTAACTCATGTGAACAGGAAATTAATGCTAATTATGCAATGTTCTAAACTTTATTAATTCTAAAATCCTTAAAAAAATTATGAAATATATGTAAAAGAAAACAATCGTATAAATGGACTAGTTTTGACAGTAATTATTTTAATTTCTGGAATAAGTTACAAGGTGTTTAAATTAAACTGTCTTGTTCAAATAATATTGCCTAAGATTGTAAGCTTACTAGTTTTCATTACATGTTAGCATAAATCCTAATTAGCCTATTAAATTGTTTCATGCACACACACATCTATAAAAGTACGAGTTTCTTATGCCAATAACACCTACCTTGTTACAGTGGTTCACTTGCTACTGGCAGTAAGTTCTTGTGGGCTTGAAATTTACATTAATTTCTTATCTAAAAACACTTATATAAGGGGTTTTGTTTATTTATACTTGTTGCAGTGGAATATGAAAATGTTTCATTGTATTAATAAGTTATATAACTTTTAAAATTTTTGAAAAAAGTTAAGAAAATTATATGGAAAATAAGCAATCTAGTGAGCCTTCCACAGTAATATAATGTCAAACACGATTGATGAATGTGAATATTTCACTCCAAAATTACATAAGAATAGCCTAAAATATTTAATTACTGCAAATAAACTGTTAAATATACAAATTCTTGTTTTTTTTCTTTGTGTATCATATTTTAGCACTTATACATGTTTTCAATAATTCAAGAAAAATGAATTTTTTTAATGACTAATGATGTTTTATGCTCTTAAATATAAACATTCATAGGCACACAAGTAAATTTGTACTTCTGGTTGTGAACATATCATTTGTAAAAATGTTTAGAAAAAGAGCCAGTAACTTTATATTTGAATGGTACGAATGAATGTGGTTAATCTTATTCTTATCCATCAACTGATGGTTAATCTTATTCTTTTTATAACTGTATTATCACCATTTTGAATGTAATTCCATAACCAAGTGTTGTTTTCAAATAACTGAAGAAAGAAATATTTAGGATGTAGCAATTATATATACATGAGCAATTGTATGTTACCTGAGGATGTATCAATTAAATATTACTTATGTTATATGCATTTGACATATGACAACAAACATGTGCTAATTATTTGCACTTTTCAAAACTTTATGACAGCATCCATGGCTCTTTTTAGCCCAAAAGAGTTAATAGTTTTGTTTTAAGATTTTGCATTATTCACTCTAAATGGCTGCATCACTTTTTTGCGTTGTGCACTTTAAATGGCTATATCTCTTCAAATTGTTACCATCCAAACATTATCGCCCTGTATTATTTTTAAAGAAATTAAATGATGAACGTTTTCCACAACGGTAACCCTTCCCTTAAGCAGATAGCTCTTGAGTGCTTTGCCATGATTAAATAAAAATACAATAAAACCCTTATTAGACTGTGCATGTATTTAAAGGATGGCGAATGCTTACGATTTTATAATTGTTTAACCTTTTGATACATGTTTATTTATTTGTTCTTTTTCATATTAAAAGGTGTGTGAACTTCACTTCAAGCAAGAGGATGTTCTGAGGCAAACTGAATTCTTTGATGAGAAAACTGGAAAGAAGATCATTATACCATTGTCATATCCTCGTTTAAAGAATGGTGCAATTCCAAGTCTGTTTCCTGATGGTCCGAGTCATCTTAGTTCCAGTGTTTCATCAAGGGAATCACCAGAGCATAAAAGACTCAAAAGAGAACAAGATGCACTCGAAAAAGCCTTAGCCTGTAGCTTAGCTGAAAAGGAAGAGTATGAACGAAAACAAATGTTTTATAATTTAGATGAACTAAAAATTTGTTTTAATACTGTGAATTTACCAGATAACTGGATAGTTATACACAGGCCTATACATACTATGATTCTTAATATTTCTAATGACAATCATCCAAGAATTCTAAAATCATTATTGATTGATTGTAATTTGAATATATCTGTAGCAATTAGAAATATACCTATTAAATCACTGAAGCAATATGTAATCCCATCAAAAATTAACAACCTTAAAGATCTTTTAAGTATTTTAGAGAAATTAGACCTATTTGCCTCAAATGATTCATCTGAAGACAGTATTCAAAATTATTTACAAATTGTAAATGAATTAATGACAATTTTAAAAGAGAAAATTCCACATAAAAACAATGAAATAAATTTTCTCGTTGAGCAACTATCAAACTTGAATTCAGAAAAACAACAATATAGGTATTCTGCAGACTTTCTAATATTTTCCACTTTACTTCACACACAATTTCACCACATGCATATAATTTTATTCGAAATTCAGAAAATATTATTATGCCTCATCCACGGACCATTCAGAAAATTTTTTCAGATTTTAATATATATCCAATAAATGAACAATACAACCAAAAGTTCCTAAGCTACATAAAATTTAAATTTCAAGAACTATCAGAAAAAGATCTGCTTGTTATTTTAATGATTGATGAAATTCATCTAAATCAAGCATTTGATTATAAAGGTGGTAATTTGTGTGGAATGGCATATAATTGCAAAAATGCTGCATCTAGTGCATATGTTTTCATGATTCGCAGCCTATTATCTGTTTATAAGGATGTTGTACATATTTTGCCGGTGAAAACACTTAGTGCGGATAATTTGTATATTTATATTAAAAAAATTGTTGTGGGATTAGAAAATATTGGGTTTAAAATTATTGCTATTGTCACTGACAATAATTCGATTAATAAAAAGGCTATGTCTCTGTTTTCCGAACCACCTAAAGTTAGTATTGTTTATCAAAACCCTGTTGACAAATCTAGGCCAATGTTTTTTATTATTGATACAGTGCATATTTTAAAATGCATTAGAAATAACTGGATAAATCAAAAAAATAATAATCAGAGTATGTTTTTCCCAAGTTTTGATGATGCTTCACATATTGAAACTGCATCTTTTTCTTGTATTAAAAAATTACATGAATCTGAATCTGAAACTGGTAAGTTATTAAAGTATGCTTATGGTCTGACAATAAAAGCTCTATATCCAACTAACTTAGAAAAACAAAGTGTAAAGCTTGCATTGCAGATTTTTAATGATAATGTTGTTGAAGCATTATTTTCTTTTGGGCAGCAGAAAGAAATAATAAATTTCCAAGAAACTGGAAACTTTATTAAAATAATAAACACATGGTGGTCAATTGTAAATGTGAAATCTATTTTTAAAGGGGTTCATAAAAATAATGTATTTGAAACACCTTTCACTGTGGCAGAAAATGATGAAAAATATGTTTTTATGAATAACTTTTTGAATTGGCTAGATAGTTGGAAAAATTTGAATTTAACCTCTGGTTGCCTAACCAAAGAAACTCACTTTGCAGTATACCATACAACGTATGCTTTAATTGAGATATCAAGGTATTGTATAAATGAGTTGGGTTTTAAATACCTTTTACTTGGAAAAATACAAACAGATATGTTAGAGGCTAGATTTGGTAAGTACAGGCAACTGGCTGGAGCTCACCATAATATTTCTATCAGACAGGTTTATGAAATAGAGGGTAAATTAAGACTTCAGAGTACATTACCAACCCTAATAAATTCTTCAAAATTTGGAAATATTCCTCTTCATGTATCTGATTTTAAAGACACTGAAGAACAAACTTTTGATGACACTGATGTACAAACATTCATAGATGAAATAACAGTTGAAGATAGTGATATACACAACATAAAATTGGATGTACCTATTTTGACTTATATATAGCTGGATATTGCTGTTATAGTATGCTAAAAAAGTTAAAATGTGATGTATGTAAATCCAATATTACTATTGATAAGGAGTTAGCTTTAGAAAACGATGAAAATATTCATTCATGGATTAAGGTTTTTGATAGAGGTCTTATGTATCCTCATCCTGATATTTTACATGCTGTTATATACAATTTTATTGTTGTTAAGAAACTTATTTCAGATGAATATGAGCAAAAATTTTTATTTTCGGCAAATCCACGAGTTACAGTGTGTAAAATTACTCTAAATTTACTTCATGAAAATTTTTTTTTAGAGTTGAATGACTGTCCTAAACTTCATGACCCTCAAATTATTTTGAAAAACATCATACAAGCATCAACGAATATTTTTCTAAATAATTACTGCAAAAAGTTGAATGATAATCTTTTAAGTAACAATTTAAATAAGCAAAAAAACAACAACGAAATTGAAAACATTAAAAAATAATTTATGCATACAGCAGAAATGACATATACTATGTTTATAAGTTAGTAAACTTTATAAAATAAGATAGTGACACTAATCTATTGTTTCTTATTATCTTCAGACTTAATTTGTAATTCATTTTTTTATCTAAATGAATATTTTTTGCAGAATGTAGATAGTATGTTAAATAAAAAAATAGTGCTTTTTCTATTTGTGTTGTGAAATCTTTACCAACTCTTTCAAAATGCATGCACACACACACACACACAAAAAAAAAAAAAAAAAGCATTTGTAATAGTTAACTAATTATGACAGTAAAGTGCTAAAGTTGTTAAGTCTCTTATATAATATCATTTTGTGCAAAATAGGTGTATTTATTGTAAACTAGAGAAATATTGATTTTTGAAGATAAAATACTTTGCCAATTAATATTACTATTGTTTAGATTTTGAAATCAGTATCTTGCAATTTTTTAATATTATTTTAATTGAAGCAGACATGTTTATTACATTAATTTTACACTGTAAGAAGAAAATAAATACAATTTGTTTTTACCTACAATTCCATATGAGTCATTTTTATAGATATTCATGCATTTTTATGGAGGAAATTCACTGTATTCTTATACAATATTTTCATTGTAATACATGCTAAATTCTGTCAAAACTAAAATTAAATACTTTGGAATTAAAATTTCTAATGATGTGGTTGTACATATACAGGGGAAAACTTATCAAAAATAAATTGAGTAAAAAAATATTTTTAATCCTTCCCAGCTGTAAGGCTTCATGCAGTTATACTAAACTATTTTGATATTAAAAAGACTTAACTGTAATAAAAAATAAGTAGCATCAAGTTACATAAATAAATAGTCATAAATAAATAGTCATCCCACCCTTTTTCCCACTGTAGTATGCAATGCCATTTCCTATTACTTCCAGTTATAAATTTACTGGTACAAAAAATTCAGGCCAAAAAAAATAAATAAATAAAATCCTTTTTATATGTTTTGCATCCTAATTGTGTTGCTTTCCTTTAATAAAAATCTGAATTATTTTGAAAATTTTAAATCTTACTTTACATCTTAACAATCAGGCTATATTTATTTTCATTTCTAATAGGAAAATACATAAAACTTGTTATTCTTTCAATTCTAAGAATTGAGGACATTTGATCTATTTAGATGTTTTAAAAGTTCCTACTGATTACCCTGATAAAAATTCCAGTAAATACATATATAAACTTCATATTTATCATTTGCTAAAAAATTCTCAAATAAGTTACAATGAAATGCTTTCAGGAACAAAAATTTACAAGTTACAAAAAAAAAAAAAAAAAAAATTATATGCACATAATTAGACAAAAGGGGTGTTACAAACATTTAACAATAAGAATGAAACATAAGAATTTTGAATTCCTAGCAAGTGTCAAGTTTGTTGAATTTTTACAATTTTTCTTTTTTTTTATTATTGGGGAAGATGCAGTTATGTATTCTCAAATAATGATCTAATTTAAAATGCCTAAATATATGAAATGTTTTGCTACCGTATTTTAAAACTACCAATGAATAAATATTGATAGATGCTAAAAAATAGTATTTTTCAAATCATTCTCCAGGTTTCTCATCTGTTAAGAAATTCAGTCCCACACTGAAGTGAAAAAAAAGCGGAAAATGACTAAACAATTATGTGTAAATTTGTATTTATGAGAAACAGAAAATGCCGTTAAAAATTGATTAAAATTAATTTAAGGATTTTTAGTGTTAAATCAATTGTAAACTTGCTTAATTATGCGTTATCCTCTTTGTTAAGGAAGAAAATATTTAATAAAATATATATTCTTCAGAAAGCAAACCAGCATCAGCCAGATATTCAGTATATATTTATTACTACTAATCTGAAGTATGTTGAATTAATTTCTTTACTATACTGTTATTATTTTAAGCATAAAAATATATAAGGAAAGTAAGGTTAGGTATTTGAAATTAGAAAATGCAGTCGATGAAATCAAATCGGAATATATATATTTGCACACACACACACATATATATATATATTTAAAACCAAACGATATAGTAAGCCTTATGCAAGGAAATAAAAACTACTTTTCATTTTCTCTCCTCTTAAAGGAATAACAGCGATAAGTGGTTTCATGTGGCAACCATGCTTTCTGTACATAAGGACGACTTTAGTGACGTAGTGTGCGGCGTGCCGTGGCTTCGTTTATAGGAGGTACTGCTTTTTCCCGCTCCTGCACAATGGAAGGAGAAGGAAAATAGGTTGCCATACATTAAGAAATTCGTTAAGCGAATTATTCTTGGAGGAAACTGAAAAAAAAAATATGCCTAAATAAATTTTTAATTTCTCCGTAAATTTCGCACGAAATTATGCAAAATTTTAATTATAGGCATAATTTGAGTCGTACAATCGAAATATGAAAAAATTGGTATATTATTTCAGAAAAAGGCCCGATTTTGTGTAAAAATACCTATGTTAGAACTACGCTATATATAAATCTAATATATAGCTTAAGTCGCGCTTTTGAGACATGAAAAACGCAATTTTAATTTCGTCAATCGTCCCAGTAGAACGGGAAATATAGAATTGTCCCCCTTTTTTTTATACATTAAGTTCAAATACAAAATTTAAATTCAAGTAAACTAGTAACAGAAGGATACACAAATCAATTAACGCGAAGTTCTTATCTTATCTAGAATCTTATCTTAAGCAATCTTAATTTATCGAGAACCTAGTAATGTAGCCTCCAAAGGCAGAACGTACTCTGTCTTATAATCTAAAAACCTCAACTTAAATACATCAGAACTAAACTTGCATAATGGGGAGAAGACGGTACGGAGAAGTGATAGCAAAGATGCAAAACATAAAAACTAATTAATTAACGTACTGGAACCTTACGAACAGTTGCGAATTTTTGCAAGTAAAATTGCTTTGTCTGGGAAAAGAATTCTGTGTGGAACGTTTTTTTCCGAATTTTAAATTAAAAAGTCTAAAAAGGAACCAGATTGACCGATGAGTATATAAAGAGAATTTCTAGTCATTTTTCTCCAGGGTTTCAAATTTATCAGAGTCGAAATATCTTATATACAATTTTATGTATTTTTCTACATACCTCAAAGAAAAATTTAATAAATAATTAAAAAAAAAAAGATAATAAATTGTCATTATTTATTCTCAATCATTGCCCACTCGGAAATTTTTCGTAATTGTTTAGTTTTAGTTTAAGTAATTTATTCAGTGATTAATTCAAGATATTAGAATAATTTGAAATAAATGTCAGTCTTAAAATTTAATTTTTAGCTATCATTACTTTTGAATTGCGATGTGTAATCAAAAGAAATTTTTTACAGATAACCTTTAGATTTCAGATAGAAAATAAATTGGAATTTTTTCTTTTGTGTCATTGTTATTCCTATTTATGTTTTGATAAATATTCAGAAAATAAAATTTTAACTTTAGTTAATTTTTTAATTAATTAAGTTAATTTTTTAAGTTAATTATAAGTTAATTTTTTTAATTAGTTTATTTTTTTTCTTAAAAATTCATTTTGAAAGAAAAAAAATAAAATAAAAATAAATTAAACAATTTCGTCCCATCAGCTGATTTCAGACTGTGCATTCAGCCCTCATGCAATTTGAGACCTCTGATATGTAAGGTATACAAGTTGTTAATATTTGTATTTCACCTACTGCATTTGTATTTTGGCATTAAATAATGTTATAATAATAACAATAAACTTGTTATTCTTGTGAGAATGGATTCATTTTCCCCTTTATTTTTAATGAGAAAGTTCCTTTGGTATAACACCCAAAAATTTAGAACGGATGAATTAATGATGTATACCGAAGTACCACTGAATAAACTTCAATCAGTTGTGTTTTCATTTTAAGATTAATCTCAGTTAACAATGCCATCCTCTACAGTCAAAAGTCGTTAATTCGGACACCCATAATCCGAAATGATCTATAATCCGGACCTCAAAGCTAAAAACTTTCTGCGCATGCGCCGCGTTGACACATGCGCATAGGCGTTTACGCGTGCGCGTAAGACCTTACGACTGCGCATATGCGTGTGCGCAAGCGCAGAATACGTTTTCGCGTGCGCGTTTTATGTATAACGGACGGTATAAGCTAAAATTATCTAATTATCTATTTCAGTTAATGTTGATGATTGCGTTGTTCCTTAATTTTCGAATTGGATCCGGCTTATTATTTTTTGCAGACTGTAAGAGCAATTTACTATAAAAGTAAACTTGAACTTTCGATTATGTCAAATAGAAATTTCCGATGCTGGGAGCTCCAAAGGATCGTACAAAACGAAAGTATGTTTCGATGTCCAATCAAACAAAAAGTGGAATTGCTGCAAAAAATGGATAAAGACATGAAGAATGTGACAGAGAGGTTAGTGAAAACGAAAAAATTTCGATTGAAAAAGTTAGTCGGTATTCTCGGCACAGCAATTAACGGGACTTGAACAGCGGAACTTTGTAACTGAACAAGAAATTATGTCTGTTTATAGAATTAAAGAGAAA